CCCCCCCCCCAAAAGCACGGAAATGCGGTTCGCGGACCCCGTTCATTCGCGTCCAACGCGCGTTCGAACGGGGATTGAACGTGAATTGAACGTGCGTTCAATTTTTCAACGCGAAACCCACGTTGAAATCAATTTCGGACACACAGTTCGTGGGTTGGTGCGTGACGACGGACTGTCCGCATCGGAGAGAGAGAGAGAGAGGAAGAGAGTTGAGGTTGACAGACGTGGAATTGTAATTTTCCTTGTAATCTTCTTTGTCCTTTTCTTTACTTCTGTATATAAGTTTTGATTTCGGCTCGGGCAATTCGCCCGTATTTTCCTTCGGCATCTTTGTGCCTCGATCCTTCCTTTCTTTTGTATATTGAATGAACGAGTTTTGATGGAATGCTATGCTTGTCGTTTTTGCCTAACCATCGTCGTTGCTTGCCACTTTGATTTGTTGTCGTCACGGTAAGAGTTTTTGATGTTGTTGCGATGTCTGATGTGTGTGATGCCACCTTGCATGATCGGAAATGATTGCTTATGGGATCCCTGAATGATTAGATGATTGAGTCACGTAGCGATCTTGCATTGAACTCTCACTTTTGCATGAAAATCCGCCAACAGGCATGTGCACGACCGAATACCTCGTGTGCGCACGTGTAAGCGCGATTTGATCAGCATGGCCTATACGTGTCCACACGTGGCGATTCGCGATCACTGACGAACTTGGCACCTCCGATATCAGGATAGGCAAGGAATCTCCCTCTTGGAAGCACCTGAGTTGATAGGAATTTCCGAAGCCATGCTCAGAATTTCCCTCATCAATCAGATGTGTGCGGAAGGTTTCCACTACGCCGCAATGACAAGATGACGTATATACGGGACCCAGAGTATTTAGAGCACTGGAGGAAGAATATCTTAGGCGGAGGTATCCAGAATTTCCCTGTCCAACCGAGAACCGACTATGCGCCAGGGACTTTCACCGTGCGTAACCAGCGACCGAAGGTGCCCCGACTACCCGACCACTTATAACACGCAATATTTCATATCTCCCGGCTTCGTTGTTATCGCCACAAATGTTCCTCCCTTCCATCTCCTCCTCCCATACCACCCACTCACGGTAGTATCGTGGAATTCCATAGCCCCGTATTGGCCCTACACGCCGCGCAGAAATTACATTCGACGCGGCAACCGCCGAGCCTCCGGAATTACGGAGCCTGCCCATAACGCGCGATGAC